TATATGTTACACTATAATTATAACTGTTTTAGTAGAAAGATGAAAGACCAGATCCATCTACATTGCCTCCTTTATCTATATCTTTCTGTTACACAATTTCTGTTATGAACCCAGTAAAAAAAAAAAAAAAACACGAAAATGGGATAATATGCGACGGAACAATTCTCTTTGAGTAAAATATCCTCCCCGAATAGGCATTAATCCGAGGTATGTTATAACACTATAAAATGCGTAATATCATTACAAAATTAACTTTAAAAAAAAAGTAAAAAAAGGGTGTCAATTGTAGCCGCGCTCCTGGAAAAAAAACTTGTAGCCAAATTAAATATAATTTTTTTTTAAAGCTAAAACTTAAATGTTATCTTTCTTTGTACTTTGATGTTAACTAACTTTATTTTAGTGATATGTACAGGGTGTTGCATTTACATATTTGGCAGTATGACGGATTACGCGACAGACTTCGCAGGGGCAAGCACGGTTCAATAGGTAACGATGGTATATACATGTATCGACATAACTTACTTATCGACAGGATTGCGCGCCTTTATAAAGTTTATAGCGTTTCAATTATGATGATCTTGGATAACAATCGTTGTAATTATTATAAAAGAAGCTGAAATGATAATTAGAGATGAAAATTGAATTTTAAGTTAACATGATTGAATTTAAAATTAATATAAAATTAATATATTGAATTTGTCGCGGAATCGCCGAAGCACCATCGCGACAAAAAACATATGAGTGTCCTCCGGCGACAGCGTTGCTGGTCACGTGATCGTTAGGCCCGATTTGGCTTGTCATGATCACGTAACGATCATGACCATGTGGCGCTGCCAGCGAACGTTCCCATTGGTCAGGTGTCGTTCGAGAACAGCCGCGGCGTGCTCGAATTTAAAAAGTCGCTTCAAAAACGAAACCCATCTATCTATCGCTCTCGACTTCTCGCGGCGTCCAGTTCTGTTGCACATCAACTCTCGTCGGAATTCTCTTTCCGCGCAGATTGCAACCGATCCGCCCAGTCGTTACGATTTTCTCGTTGTTCGACTCTCAAAAGTCGAAATTCTCTGCGCCGGTTCAAATTCTCTTTTGTTACTGCGTAATCGTGTAAACTTCTCTGTTGTTACTGTGTTGGAAAAGGGTGACTCCCTGAGAGGAGGTTATGCCGTTCCTGTGTTATGATATCTTTATTATGATATTTGACTTACTTTATTTTACATCCTTGTTTGTAATCATTATTTTTGTTTATTATATAGAAATATATATTACGCTTTCTGAATGTCTCATGAATTGATTGAATATTGCGACATGTCGGGTTCATAGCTTCCCGCCGCCCGGAAGGCGGTGGAATGCGGGACTCAGCGGGGCATCGGTGCGCCGGCGCGTGGGCCCACCGTGCTCGTGCACGGGTGAGGGCGCTCGGCGCGGTGAAGCTGAGCATACCAATGGCGTCCTCTCGAGAAACCTGGCCGTTTTGACTCTCTCGCTCCTGGTCTTACTGTTTGTGCAGATTGCAGTGTGCACGGGCGAAAACGAAACAGATAAGCCATTGTGAGAAGGATAATTGGGGCTCAAGCACGAGTAGCAAAACAACTCACTCATCTTGTTCTGATTACTGACGTCAGGGTAAGTTACGAGAATCACGATCTAACGCAAATACGTTGCTTACGCTCACGACGGCATGGGTGTCCAACATGTTGCTTGGGCACAATCGTATCAAATGAGTCTGCTTATTACGGCTCGGATGTCCAACTTGCTTGGACCTAAGCATTACCATAAGCATAATGCACATTATGCAT